AATTAAATTTGATTAAAGAGGTGATCACCCAAATTGGGTAGGAATGTGAACCACATTAGTGTTAGGTCCTTTATAGTGGTAAAGAAGAGATAACCCTAGAAAGCGTTGTTGATGTTGAGGAGCTAGGTCATAGCTCAAAATTTGGCACATGATATCTGGGATATTTTTCCTCAGTAGGACTCAAGATGAGGTACCTTGAACTCAGGTGGTACTCTTACTTCAAAGATTAATTGGCAAGGCATTGGTCTACCCAAGTTTATTATTTTTGGCCCATCAGGTTATTAGACTAGAGTTCTCATCTCAATTAGGGGTGAGCAAGATTAGTGGATGAACATGAAACATTCACTTTTTCTACTACTTATGATGAGCACCAGGATTGGCTGGCACTTCATGCATGTCGACCATTTTTGGCAGGTGGTTAGTGAAAGAAAAAGCATACTGAATGGAGTGGTGTATTCAGGGTTCATTGTATTCTGAGAGGTCATAGGTTGCTTAAGACGTGCTAATTTTCTTACCTTCGACATCATCCAAGCTCACCTCACCCAAAGAGATGTTAGACCCCATTTTATTTGATGGATAATGTTGGGTCGTACTTCATGCCACCTTAGATTCAAATCCTATGTGGAGAATTAAATGAATTTTGAGTATGAGGAAAAGGAGAAAAAAGGGACGTAGTGTGAGTTATATAATTTTTTTATACCAGTCAGAGATACAAGAATAATAAGAGCGAGAGCTCTTAGATAATAGAGTTTATGTTATGAAAGGAAAAAATGATACATCATACCTCTTCTCTTATGGGTTCCTCATACATGCCTTCTTTTTCTATTTTCATACCCTTTTCTTTTTATAGGGCTAAAAAAGGCATAGGGATTATATTCTTAATACAGTAACTGTCCCATCATTCTTTGTTATAGCTTAGCCATCGGTGCCGAGTGAATGGGTGATTTGAGAAGGGAGAGTTAAGTAGGCTTGCGGAGGCCCATCAACGTTGTTTGGAAGTTAGTATGTAATCTCCCATTAAAAAGGGTTAAGTATCAGCGAAGCGAAGTCTGGAGAATGCATTGACGTGAAGCTAAATATGATATGAGGTCACCCCATTAAGATTAGGATGGGTGAGTAGCGTCTTGATGGGTCCTTTGATAAGTGTAAATAATGTGTTATTTTATGTGATAAAGTTTAGTAAGAATATGTTATTTTAGTTGTATTGTGCATGAAAATATAGAAAAGGCATAAAAATTCTAAGTTTTATATAACACTGTGGTGTTGGAACAAATAACAGTCAATGCCAACAAAGACACCGTCTAAGCATCAGAATATCAACATTGCAGCATGGACTTCCCTAAAGGACAGTGCCATGATAGTTAAATATCAACTTTGTTGCACCAAGTGTTTTATTTTCCAGCACCTCGATGTCACCATTAATAATACCTCGGTGTCGCAATCAATAATAGATCGGTGCCCAATTTGCCCTTCCAGTTCCATAGCATTGGAAAGTCAACAGTGTCGTAGCATAACAATTGTAACTTCCTAAAGACACGACCTGTTAGCCAATCGACACGTCTGTTCACTAAGTAACTTTTCCATGTTAGTAAGTGTTACGTTGGAACTAGAAAAACAACACAATGGCATTAATTCATTTATTGGATACAGAGCTGCTGATTTTTATAACGCCGTAGAGCTAGATGTCTATTTATTTTTTTTCTATAAATAGTTATTGTGTTATGTTTGTAAGGGAGTTTAATCACTTAGATAAGTTTAGTGCAATTTAGAATGCTTATGTGAATTTCCCTTAGGGTGACAACTAAGGGAATTTAGAGAAGTACTTAATTCCATCGTTAGAGTATTTGGCTTGTGTTTTTTGAAGAAATTTTGTAAGTGAAAAGAAAGAGTGTAGAGGAGATCCATTGAATATATCTGGTGATATCTATCTATTTTATTTTCTTTCTATCATGCTATTAATGAAAATGAGATTGCTTCAACTTTTCTCTATGTCCATCTAAATTCTCATTTTTTATTGATAAAGTAATATCATATGAAGTATTAATGAGTTCTCTTATTCCATAAATGATTAACATGATATTTTTAATATTGCCATATCATAATTTATTGCTCATAGTGGCCAGATGTGTAGTTAAAATTAGGTGTAATATGAAGCCTCGACAGAGGGAAGCATGCATAACTAAGAATATCGAATTATTATGAATTATGCTTAGGCATAGGATATGAAACATACTAAATTCTTAAGGAGGTGAAATAACCATAGGAAGTCTATAGACATACTTTGTTCCTACAAGCTCGACAAAGATCTCGGAATGCATATGCTCTGAATAGCATCACAATTAAAAGTGAATCATTAGGAAATATATTATTATGCAGGAGCAACACAATCAGTTGTTGGATGAAATGCGCAAAATGAGGGAGCAGATGAGTGGAAAAGAGGTAGCTCTAGCTGAGGATGAGTCCACAGATTCAGAGTAGTTTAGTTTATTTTATGAACTTGTTTATTTTCTTTGAATATGTAATATTGAACAATATCTGATATTTTTAGTTGGTTGTTACTATTGAACAGTTTCTTTTAATGAGTATTTATGTTTTTGTGCATCTTTGAATTGTTATAAACTGTTATGAAAATATTATAAACTATTGTGGAAAGATATTTGTATAGGTTTGCAGGTGTGGAAATCTGATTGTTGGTTGGGATGGCAATTTTTTTTTGTGAATGCTACAGGTTTCCGGTGGATTTTGCCCCGGTACGTCGCCGGAAACGACGATACAACAAACCGTATCGATCTAACCGGCGTTTTGCGTAAGCCAGAAATTACCGTCGAACTTTCCAGCATCATATCCGCCGGCCATTCCCGGCGCATATTTTGCGCCGTAAACATCCCGCAGGTTATTTACGGCGTATCAACGGCGTTTTCTCCGCCGGTAATTGCCGGCGCAATCATACGACTGAAATTACCAGCGCATATGTCGCCAGAGTCAGTGGCTGAAATGTCGACGACTGCCATGATTTTTTGTGCAGGTAATGCGTCGGAAAGGGCGCCAAAAAGTGTTCCGGCGCAAACGTATGCGCCGGAAGTCTTTTACCGACACGCTCCAAACCGGTGCAGATAATTCCGCCGAAACGTGCGCCGGAAACCTATAATTCCGACGAAAATATTGTATTAGCGGCGGATATTCTCCGCCGATAATGACGGGTTTTCCCGTAGTGTAGGCAAACAAATATGAACAACATTTTAAATACTCAATTCTTAAATAAACAAGCTTGAACACTAATGTGTTCGGTTCAATTACGTTCACGAACAACATCATTTGAAGTTTGTGAACAAGCTTGACATTAAGCTCGATAAAAGCTCAAATGGAGAGAAATGCAACAGGTAAGTTTCATTTAAAAATATATTCATAAAGATTAATCATATTTTCATTTTAAATAGAAAACTGATTTTATTATAAATTTAATTTTCTGAACAAAAGACATTTCACATTTGTCTATGTTTGTTAGATTGTTTATTTAAGATGATTATGAACAAATTTAATGTTTGTTTGTTCAATAGATTGTTTGTTAAATATGTTTACGAACATAGCTCGTTAAGGCTTGTTTGTTTAAAGCTCGATAAACATTAAACGAACCAAACATGGACCGAACATGAACCAAACATGAACACCCTTAAATTAAACAAACCAAACATGAACACAAATAATAAAGCTCGAATCAAACATGAACCGAATTTGAACAAGCTAATGATAAACGAACTCAAACATGAACACTCACATACTCGGTTCGGCTCAGTTCGTTTGCAGCCCTAACGTCACTATTTAAAAATAATAGAAGTTTTGTTAAAGAAACCTAATTCATGTCTCTCTTGAGTATCAAATGTACCGTACAAAGCTAAGACACTGGCTCATTAGGAAAGCTTACTGCTCACATCTATGTATTCAGATCCACATATGAATACAAATACACATAAACATACACTTACCACACCAAATGTCCCATAACAAAAGGCCCAAAAATATAATATGACTCAAAATATTTGACGGCATAAAGGTATTCAAAATGATACAAATGAAAATAAATATCACCATTCTCAAATAATTCTCTTAACAAGCCTACCTCTTGGTTAGCCCCATTCTCCTCACTTTTGTATTACTCTAGTGACATCTAATCTTTATCAGATTATAATTACACATACTTTGCTCCATAATATGAAAGCTACATCATTTTCACATGAAAATAATATACCAATAGTTGTCCTGCATCATACATCATATATTACAATAATATGAAGCACAACTTTTTAATGTTTTATTTGTGACAACTTTTTTATTATTTTTTTAAAGCATCTTTTTAATACAAAAATTTTTTGTTCATAAAATTTTTATACTAAAAGCTGTTTTTAAAAAACTGTGAAAAACTTGTTCCAAACAAAGCCTAAATTCAAGGACTTCTAAATGAAGCCTTGAGACCATCTCAACTCGAACTCCATACCACCGTATGCAGTTCGCCATTCGCTACATTCAAACTCCAAATCTCAAGCCGAAATTCGGTAGGTGAACAGTGGGATGCTAATATTGGCGTCATACTGTTCACCTACGCCAAAAAATTAAGTTGTAAAATTTGCCAAAGAAGAGCGCGAAAAAAAAAAGAGCGCGCGAAAGAAAAGAGAGATGATTACCTTCACAGGAAGCACACAAAGAAAGAAAGAAATGTAGTTTGATTGTAAATGAATTACAGTATTTTGAAGTTTTACTGCATGTTAGAGTAGAAAATAAATTTTTTGGTGGAAGATGCCCTAAGAAGTAATATGAAAGACATAAAAAAAAAAGCCTAAATAAATATTTAACATCATACTACTCTTAGACCTGGTCCAGGAAAATGTAGACCTTATCTGGGCCGGCCCGCGCCCGGAGTGCTCTCCAGCTTTGGTTCTATGGTTCTACCAACCCACTCGGATTTCCCTCCCAGTTACATAAAATAAACCCCTCGCATTCCACTCTCACTCCCAAAGTCTCAACTTTTCTCTACTCTGCCATTTTCCCCCATTGATATCAAAACAGAGGGGGCAGAGGAAAGAGAGAGACAGTGACCGTAAGCGAGGAGTGCAAGAGAATCTTCTAATTAGCAGCAAAAATAGCCGAAAGAAAGAGCAAGAGAGAGAGCTGCAGTAGTAGAATCTACTATCCCATTTCGTCGCCATGCTTAGCTCCGGATGAGGAAATCCTCTTCTTTCCACAATGGCGCCGGACCCTTCTTTATCGGAGGTCCTCCCATGGCTCAAGACCCTCCCCCTTGCCCCGGAGTACCGCCCAACCCTAGTAGAGTTCCAGGACCCCATCGCTTACATCCTCAAGATCGAGCAGGAGGCCTCCCGCTACGGCATCTGCAAGATTGTCCCCCCTGTCCCCGCAGCTCCCAAGACCACCGCCGTCGCCAACCTCAACCTGTCCTTTTCCTCTCGTTCGCCCTCTGGCGACCCCACATTCACCACTCGCCAACAGCAGATCGGCTTTTGCCCGCGCCGCCCGCGCCCTGTCCAGAAATCAGTTTGGCAGAGTGGCTGCCGATATACTCTCTCCCAATTCGAGACCAAAGCACGTAGCTTCGAGCGTGCCCACCTCCGCAAATCCCGTAAGAAGAACAGGTCTTCTACCTCACTTTGTCCCATCGAGGTCGAATCGCTCTTCTGGAAGACGGCCGCCGACAAGCCCTCCTCAGTCGAGTACGCGAATGACATGCCTGGCTCCGGATTTGCGGAGCTGAGGGAGGGCGAGATGGATATGACGGCTGCTGAAAATGTGGGAGAAACTGCGTGGAATATGAGGGGAGTGGCGAGGGCGAAGGGGTCGCTGCTGCGGTTTATGAGAGAGGAGATCCCGGGTGTGACATCGCCCATGGTGTATGTGGCCATGCTTTTTAGCTGGTTTGCTTGGCACGTTGAGGATCACGACTTGCATAGCTTGAATTATTTGCATATGGGGGCGGGTAAGACTTGGTATGGAGTGCCAAGGGATGCGGCCCTGGCGTTTGAGGAGGTCGTCAGGATACATGGCTATGGCGGGGAGGTGAACCCTTTGAGTAAGTACATATTTGGGTTCTGCACGTTTTGGTTTTCTTGAGCCTGCATTTCTATCCTGCAGCATATTTGAGTCTTTTGTTTGTTTGTTTGTTTTTCCCATTTCAGTTGTAATTCTCTCTTGTATTGCTGTTATATTCTCCCTTTATTAAGGAGCAGCTATATAATTTTTTCTGTTATTGAGGGCCTTGCTAGGTTTGATTGGGAAGCTTCACATTTCTAAAATGATGCAAACAAACAGCTTTGGTGGGAGATTGGATTTGAATGTAGTGTCTAAGGATGATTTCCGGTCAGATGCTCTGCTTGCTTCTCTCTTAGCTACAAAATGATTGTCCTGCCCCTAAACAGAAGATAACTTCAAATGTCTTAGCTGGAATAGGGATGTTCTTGCTTTGGTCGGTTTTACTTCCATGACTTTTTTCCTTTGTCCTGAAATTAAATATGCCTTTTATGTTGCATTCTTCTAGTTGGCGTAGAATGTGCCTTATCAGAGTTAATGTACTGTTTTTTTCATTCTGTTGTTTTCTTTTGACATTATTTTTTTGAAATATTGTCCATCATTCTTTTGGATGATTGAATGCATGAAGAAGACAAAAGACGGAGTGTTGTTTGGTTTTTTTTTCCATTACACTACGAGCATCTGGAGCTAGAGGCTTTTACATCATTTGGTAAAACCAGATGACTTCTGAATTTGGAATTTGGCGCATATGTAGAATGATAGTTTCCATCTTTATGGGCACTTTTACCCGCTGTAAATATGGAGTATCCTTGTATGCTTTCTATTCCTTAACAATATGCTGACCATATTCTATTGGGAGAAAATTAATGAAAAGCCAATGTTTGAGATAATGATCTCTTAATAATAAACAAAATATATGCAATTGTTTATATAGTAGAAGGTGATGGAGTAATTGTTACGGAGTGGCTATTGATCTTCCTTGTACATGCAATTAAGGAGTGGCTCTTGATCTTCCTTGTACATGCAATTGAAGAGTGGCAATTGTGAGCTAGAGTGAGAAAGGGTGTGTTAAGAGAGAAGTAAGAGAAGTGGGAAGGCTTTTATTCATATTAATCAAAATTCACAATGAAAAATAAGCATAAGTAGAAATCTTTAGGATGTGTCTAGATGCAAATAGGTGGTGATGGTTTGAGGTGTTGGGAGTTTACCCCTTATGTTAGGCTAAAAACCTGAGATCCCCTTTGTTGAGGTTAAGAAATTAGTGGAGAAGGTCAGAGGTTCTTCTAAGTGTTGGAGTAGATTGAAATGGTTAGGGTAAACTATGAATAATCAGTGTTATGGCATTCATGAAATATATGTTTAGGGTTTAGGGGCTTGTAAAGGTGGATCACCTCAAACTAGGGGTAGAAGAAGTGTATATGGCTAAGGAGGGTCCATACCTCTGCATGAAAGGTTGGAACCTTGGGATAATGTTTATAGATGTTTGTGAGAGGTGATATGATTGAAATAATAGAGAATAAGTCATTTGAATTTAAAATACACAAAAAATAACCCATTCTACCCATCAAAGAAACAATATACGGGAATGCCGCAAACAAAAAAAACATAGCTTATATTTTGTCCACGAAGCCTTGATACCTCAAGAGTAGGCACTCAATTTATTCAAAATGTCATCAATCCCTTTTTTCCATGATACCTTTGTATTTATAAAGACTTACAACCATGAGAATCTGAAATTAAATAAAGGAAGGAGTTATGGTTGGTTTTGATTGAAAGGGTGCTTGGATAGTTTTAAGCATCTTTTAGTGAAGAGAAGCACCTCCTCACTCCAAGGAGGTGGTCGCCTACTCTTGAAGGGAATTTATAATCTAAATTAAAAAGTTGACCCTTCTTAAATTGAAATGCAACAATTTCCTCTCAAAAGTTTGAATTTTAAAATTTGAATTTCATAAATTCAAAGATTTCAAATGTGCCAAAGATAAAATTACATCAACATAGTTAACATAATCCTATCATTACAAAGATAAACATAAAATAAGAGATTAGTTTGTATTTGCTTGCTTGTTACTCATTTATCTAGTATTTACTTCATTATTTGCATTCGTTATTCCATGTGCTACATCACTTTGTGTAATCTAGTATCCTTACACCAAACTTCTGTAATGCCTATAAAGAAACCAAGAACTATTAAAACTCATCACTCAAATGGTGATGCAAGTAATGTGAACAATGACAAAATAAATAATTACAAACTGAAAAATGTGAAGAAAGCTGCTGTATTCGGTTCACACAAGGGAATAGAGAAAAGCTGCCAATGGAAAGTAAGCAAGCAACAGAAGATAAAGCAGAAACGAAAACAGAGAACTGTGTAAAGAAAGTATTTTTCTTATATTCATAGTTAACTTTCTATCATACTGTTACAAGTTTATATAGATGAGTGTTAGCTAAAGCATTAGTACTATATTGCCTTTTGGAAGAATCCTGATCAATGGTGTGGATATAGAAGCAGGTGTTACTGGCTGCAAAGCATCTGAAAAGCTGCTGAAAAGAAATTATAGTGAGAAGTGGAGAGAAGGTGCAGAAGTAGGCAGGTAGCTTTATCACCTCCCCTCAATTTGAGGGGGAGAGCACACTGTCAACTTGTCGCATAGATAGGTGAATGGAGAGGGAGGTAAAGCTTTAGTGAAGAAATCGGCAAAATGGTTTGTTGTTGAGATGTGTTGTACAATTATAATTGTGTTGTTGATGTTTTCACGGATGAAGTGATGATCAATCTCCATATGTTTTGTATGGGCATGAAAAACTTGATTGCTGGAAATGGACATTGTTTAAATGTTGTTGCAAAAAAGTAGAGTGGTGTCCAATGTGATGTAGAAGTCCTAACAAAGCCGACAGAGCCAAATGATGTCAGTTGTAGTTGCTGCAAGGGATCGATATTCAGCTTCTATGGATGAGCAGGCAACTTTGGTTATTTATTTACATGCTAAAAGATAAGAGTTTTGCCAAAATAGATGCAATAACCTGTAGTGGATTTATGATCTTGAGAATCAGTAGCCCATTCTAAGTCAAAGAAGCCTATTAGCTTTAAATCTCCTTTTTGATTGCAAATAACGAAGGATGCATTTAAGTAGTTGGAAGTGAAAATCGAGTGGTTGATGCATGTGTTGACATAATTTATTTACAACAAAACTTATGTCAGGTCGGGTGGAAGAAAGATATTGTAGAGCTCTTGATATTTGGCAAAAAAGGGAAGGTTTGCTGAATTGGTTTTGTAATGCAGGATAATTTGGGAGTAATCGTGGAGTTGGAATGAAAATCGTGGGTAGTGAGGTAGGATGAAAGAGTAGCAAACCACTATCAAGGTGCCTGCTAGATCATAGAGAGCATTCTTCGGCAAACAAACACGATTAGAATGTTTTTCGTCTTGAGAACCTTGTGGTTGAGACATATAAACGATCTCATTGAGTTCACCATGGAGAAAAAGCATTAGCCACATCTAGTTGCAAAATTGACTAGTTGAAATGTAAAGTAATTGTATGGAACATTTTAATAGTTGGAGATTTGGCAATCAGGCTAAACTTTTTAAGATAATCAATGTCGTATTCCTGTTTATAATCTTGAGCAACGAGTCTAATTTTTTGGCTGCCAATGGAACCATCGGAGTTGTGCTTCAGTTTAAATATGCATTTACAACCAACTACTTTGAAGTGCGATTGAGGTGGAATCAAAGTTCAAGTGCCTTGTGATGAAGAGCATGGAATTTGTTGGATAAAGCTTTGCGCTACTCAGGGAGTTTGATAGCTGCAGAAAAACATGTTGGAGTGGATTATAGAAAGGTATGAAGATCAAAGACGTGTCAAGGTTTGAGAGATCCTGTTTGTAACCGAGTGACCATAAGATGTTGGAGAGGATAGGAGAGGAGGGGTTGGAGGAGGGGGTTGAAACTGGAGTTCAAGAGGATATAGAGACGTGAGAAATGGGTGGAGATAGAATGGTTGGGGAGTTGGTTGAATATATGCTTGAGGGCTGTTTAGTGAAGGTTGAGGGTAGAGTATTTATGGTGGGGGTAAAAGAAATCGGTGGAGAGGAAGAAATGGATGATGCTGTAAAAGTTGAGAATGGAGGGAAGTGTGTAGTAGTAGATTCATCAAAATGGATGTGTCGTGAAATGATAATTCGACCGGAGGTGGGGTTGTAGCATTTATAGCCTTTTTGATTGGTAGCATAAACAAGAAAAACACATTAAGAGGAGCGGGGTGCTAATTTATGGGGAGAGTATGGTTTGAGTCAGGAGTAGCAACGACAGTAGAAAACATGAAAATCATTATATGTGGGAGGAGGAGATATAAGAGGTGGTAGGGGATGGTAATTTGTTGATGAGATATGCAACAGTGAGTACAATATCAACCAAGAAATGTGGAGGTAGTTGGGCTTGAAATAGAAGTGCGTGAATAGTTTCTAAGAGATAGAAGTGTTTTTGTTCGGCAGTGTTTTTGCTGTGGTGTATATGGACAGGTGTATTAGTGGTGGATGCCATGATGTATTAAGAAGGATTGAAGTGCGTTATTAAGAAACTCCCCACCAATATCAATATGAAGTTTGTGTATTGGTAGGGTTTAGTTGTTTATCAAAAAGAGTTTTGAATATAATGAATTTATGGTGTTTTAGATTTATTTTTTAGGAGGTATATCGAAGAATAGCAGGAGAAATCATCAACAAATAGTAATTAAAATTGATAACCATTGTTTGATATGATGGGAGAGGGTCCCAAACATCTTCGTGTATAAGTTCTACTGGAGAAGAAATACAAGTAGTTGATTCATTGAAAGCTAATTTATGACTCTAAAGCATAAGAATTAAAAAAAAAGAAGAATGAATAAATACATAGTTGAGGAAAATGTTTTGAGATAACAAGGGTGAAAAAATTCGGATGACTTAGGCGACGGTGCCAAAGTGTGGAGAAGAATATAGAAGCGTTGAAGAAACATTTGTAGGAGAGGTGGAAGTCTGTAAAATGGTCAAGAGCGGATAGAGACCATTATG